GCAGGGCCAACACAAGCTCTCCAGGAAGAGCCTCCAGCCCCTCGGTGACTTTCTCTCCTCTCTCTCTCTCTCTCTCTCTCTCTCTCTCTCTCTCTCTCTCTCTCTTTTTCTGACAAGGGGAAGGGAAGGTAGGCTACGCTGCCGCCAAAAGCAAAAATAGCCTTGCCCTGGCTGACTCCACCACCGTTCTTCTTCTAAACTAGTGTCTCTGACCCCCTCTCCGGTGGGTAACAGTGAGCCTCCAGCCGCTCCCCTTTAAAAGGGAAGCGGGAAATCCACCCGGGCCCCTATTATCTCCCTCTCCCTCTTCCACTCTCCCTCTCCCCTTCCTCCTCCTCCCCGTCTGGAATTTCCAGCTCTGGACTAACTCGTCTGATTTCTCCAGCCTCCCCTGCTGCTTTTTTTCCTCCCCTTTTCTCTTCCCAACAGTCCCATCCCAAAATCTAAGCTTCACTTTCTGGAAGACATTAGCCACATTTTAAGAATCTTTTTAAGAGGATGGGGAGCGAACAAGACTGAATTTAAATTCTAACAGCTGGAAAAATGTCTGTTCTTCATACATTGGTTTGGTTCATACATTTATTCTAACAACACTATCACCACTACTACCACACCACACACAAAAACCAACAGATCTAACCAATAAGTAACTCTTCAACACAAAATCTTTAAACAAATAGTGCTTGCTGTTCTCCCCCTTTCCACTCAACTAAACCAGATCTGATTTTTAAAATATTTAAAATTGTATACTCATACTAGCCTATCTCAATGGTATCTTTGTCAACAGGCTGTTACCCATTAAAGTACAGAATAAATAAACTCTTAAAAAATAAGCCTTAAAAGTACCCACACACATAGATTCAAATGATACATATTAAGGTAATTTAAAAAGATTAGAAGCTCAAGACCTTTGAATCAAGATTCCTCCAATTGCTAATGTCATGCATTTCATCTCTGAAACATAATTATAAGTATGTTTTGTTTTTCCACCAAAAGCTGTGCCATTAAAACTTTACATTTGGAATGGTTAACTATACTTTAAGTTAGTGATGGGAATCACAATTCTTTCCCTTCTTTACTAAAAAGTTCTCCATCTGAGAAACCATTAGGGTAAAATTTTATTTCTCTAATTTGGGGCAAAAAATAAGGGGTTCTGGAAACCTACAACTCTCCTAAGGGACAGCCAAATATTACTATCCTCAGGGATGTCCCATCTTGAAATACTGACCACCCAAATGATAACTGGCATTTCTCTAGCAGTGAAGGAAACTTAATTTATAAATTTATAAGTTTACTTTTTAAAATGAGAAGACTATACCCTGATTTCTACCTTTTCTCCAAACAGGACAACTTAAAGATTCAACTATTTTTTTCACTTAATGTAAAACAAAACAAAAAAAAACAACAGCAACAACAACAAAAACTAATCTAGTATTAATAAGAAAATCTTTTTCCTAACAGGGTCATAAATTGTTTCTACTTTAAACTTACTTGTTGAATACTGGTCCCATGTATCTTTCACCTTGTATGAGTTATAAACTTTCTTTTTGATTTGGATACTAATCCATAATTACAAAGTAAAGTAAAAGTGCCTGAAAAATCCTCCCACTCTAGTAATTTTCCTTCCCTTGTTTTTTAACTCCCTTCATCCATTTTCAGCACCAAAGTATAAGGGGTTTTCCTTTTCCATTAAATGCAAACCCATTTCTGAAGCTGAAATTTTTAGCTTGTTTTAAAAACATTTAGTGATCCAATTATTTCTTCAGAACCTCCACAAACCATTTCTTAAAATAAAATTCAAAATAATTGTTGCCATTTACAAAACATCCCTTCACAAATTTTTAAGGTGTTAAGTTCAGAAAATTAAGGAATAAAATAGGAATCAAGTTTGAACACTTTTGAGTGTTCTCACACTTTTATGAATGGTTATGAGACTAATAATTTTTGTTTAATAGCTGGAAATTTAAAGGAACATGTTAGCCCACCTCATTTTAAGTCAACTTAAAGGAAAGAATCACCATTAACCTGCCTAAAGAAATCACCAAACTTGAATACATTTTGCCTAGAGAAATTAATGCAGTGCATCTCTTTTATATTTTTAACAGTAACACGTTTTATTTTTGATGACACCAATTATCAAATATGGTATCTGTAGGTTACATTCCTCTAGAAAAAGACACATCACAGTGGCAAGTGTAATAAAAATTTAATTCTCTTAAAAATCAATAATTTCCCTGAGTAAACAAGTCACACTAAGATGGTATCCCTTACCTTAAATACTCTTTAAGTCTCTCAGAATAAAACATATATAAACCCTTTTCACAACTGTCTTAAAAATTCTTCTGGTTTTTCTTGTTTGTCCCAATATTTGGCAGTGAATATATACAAATTCTCAACAAAAAGCCCAAAGTATTAATCAAATTCCAATACTGACTAAAAGGGAGTTTGGAAGGTGATCTCAGAGAAATTTTATGTCATGCATTTTAAAACTTGAAACTAATTGTATTTTCAGTTTAAATATATAGTGTCAGTCTCTTGAGTTCTTAAAAAGGTACACATCATATTTATCAAATAGATTTGGTGGAGGTAGGGGAGGAAAAAAGATTCAAAATGAGAACAAAATATATTAACACTTCAAAATCAGAGCTGCTTAGAGGTAACTGCTGAAACATATCTTTTGTTTGATTTCCCCCTTTAAAAAAACAAACCAAGAAAATTAGGTTATTGGGTTTTTGTGAATCTCTTAGAAATTTAAATCATAATTCATTTGGAGTTGTGTGCATCAAGAAGAATTCTCTTCTATTTTAAGCAGTGAAAACACCAAAGTACATATATATGTTATATATATGCACACACAAAATATAGACATAGAGTTGTTCATTTTGCTTAGAGTATATTAGTCATAACTAGTTCCTGTTTTATACATCCATGAGATTAAAAAAGCCAGTAACAAACCTAACTGAAAAAAATACTTTTCAGACACAGACTAAAGACACATACCACAACATGCTTCCTCAAAGAACACAAAATGATAGAGCAAACTGACTTAATGCAAACAAACTCTTCTTTAAATCCCAAGACTTCAAAAACTGATTCATTCTAGAAAAATGAAGTGCCTTCTCATCACCACCCAAAATGAAAAGAAAAGAAAACAAAATTGACTTAAAGTTTGGACTCAAAAATTATTTAAGGAAGGGAAAGAACACACAGAAGATCTAATTTAGTATGGGTGTGGAGAGGGAGTTTTTTTACCCAGTCATCTCACAAACCCTCTCCCCATTCCAACTCAAAAAAGAGCCCTCAGTAATGCATTTTGGAGGGAACAAGAATGAGCCTAGAAATGGCTTCAAAGCAAGCAGATGGCTTGGGGAAAAAAGATCCATAAATACAGGAGACCATGAAAATTAAAATATAAATGTTTTGAGTTCCATTTCATCACATTTTGCTATTTTTCTTGCTTTTCAGTTCATTCCTTTTAAAATTAAGCCATCCTCAAGAGCAAAAGAAAAAAATGTCCACATATTTCAGAATGCCAGTTATTATGGATACTTTTCATCAACCCTCAGCTTTCAATTCAAATATCTATAATCTTCTCAATAAATCTATTAGTGTCAGTGTATTAATTTCTCTTATCATCTCTAGGAAATGTTTCGAAATAATAAATAAGACTTTTTCCTTCAAATTGTTGCCTGCTTACTCCTAACCATAATTGCCTTTCCTGTAACAAAGTATTTCAAGCATTTAAGGTTAAATCACAAACTCTACAAAGGTACTAACGAGCCATACTGATCATCTATCGATACAATAGTTCCAACTTACTTAAATATCTCAAACTAAATCACTGAAAAGATTTTTATCTCCCATTAAACTTCCCAGATCCTCTTAAGTGCCCCCCTAAAAAAGTCACCCATCCTTCACCTTCCCTCCCAGAAAAGTCCAGAGATGATTCTAGTTGAACAGGGGTTGAGGGTCAAAGATTTACTGGGGCTTGCTTTCCAACTAGCAACATGAGCACAAACTCTGCACTGTCAACATGTTTAAAGTCTGATTTGAGAAAGCAGAAAGACTCTGCCCTTATACTTCCCAGCTCGAATTCAAGGAAAGATTTCAGAGTTCAATCAAGAAATCAATGATTTCAAATCCACTACCAATTTTCAGGAAGCATGATGGAAGTACCCCTTTTTCCTGAAAAAGCATAGAGGGTTTCAGAATGAACACACACACACACATACACGCACACATATACACACACACACACTCCATTCATCCACCGAGTTCTAGACCCTCCAAAGAGCCCCAGCTCACAGCCTGAACACAAAGATCTCACCCCAGATGGTCCCCTTGTAACAATGGGCTGAAGGAGTGGGGGTAGGGGGCTCAAAAAGGATAGTACAGCTAAGGCATATTCTTTGGAAAATCCAGTTGGGGTGGGGGTCGGAGGTGGGGGAGGATGGTGATGTGAGGGACTGGGGGTAGGGGTCTGTGGAAAAAGTCTTTGCCTGTTGCAGAAATATAAATAAAGCACAAGCATAAGGGTATTTGGGGGGGGCATGAAACTAATTCCACTTCCTCTACAGAGTAGAAGGGGACTCTCCCCAAATCCATTTAAGAATTATGGTGTAGAAAGGGTGGGAAAAACAGAAAAAACGAGGCCTGCTAGGAAGTTGCAGAAATCGCCTTGAGTCTGAACTCTTCAAAGATTTTAAGCTTCCCCACAAAAAACGGCCCCACACCTTGAACAAAATCCACAAGGTTTCACCCCTATTGACTTTCCCCCCTTTAATTCTACAAGTAACATCTTTTAGCCCAGACCCAACTTTTTTTTCTCCCCTTTTTACAAGCTGTAAACCACCCATTACAAGATCTTGGCCAATCTTCCCTCCCTGCCCCCAACATCCGGAGTTGGGGGTGGGAAGGCCAGTAATGGGTTTCTTCCACTGGAGACGCTAAGGACCCCTGAACACAGCCTCTCAGCCCCCCAGAGAAGAGCACTTTCCTACCTTTGTTTTTTAGGGACCGAATGTTCAATCTCTAGGCGTTTTCCTTGTAATTCTACTTTCCCTAAAGATTAAAAAAAAAATTGCTATGAGAGCTTGAACAGGGGTCGGGGTGGGCAGACGAGGGGGACGCTAGGGTAATTCAAGAGTTACTGAGATGCGAGCCCTTCCCGGGGATCCAGGCAGTGGCTTCCGCAGCCGGACGGGAAAAGGTTGCTCTAGGAATAGTGGAGTCTATAAATTCGTTGTTTTCTTAATTTTTGTTTTGTTTAATCAATTAGGCTTGTTGAGCGGATCGCCCTAGAAGCCCAATTTGGGGCAAGTGCGAGATCATTTGTGTGGGCGCGCTGCCGGTCCGGCTCCCAGATGTGGAGATTAGCTGGCAGGAGAAACGGCTCCCCGTTTCTCAGAAAGTGGGGGCGGGGGCGGTGTGTAGAACGAAACTTTATTTTTCTGTTGGACCAAGAAGGAGGGCTTCAGGCCGCGGGGCGGTCACCTGTCGGGCTGGCGGGGAGGAGAGGGGCGCCGAGCGCGGCGGCGGGGAGGGTCCCTGGCGGCCCGGCCTGGGCGTCTCGGGAAGCAGCATGGCGACCCGGCGCCGCCGCCGCGCCACCCTGCTCACGCCCCACTTTCAAATCAAAATGGCTCAAGCCCCAGGCCCTGGGCGGGAGGCGGGACCCCCTTCCTCCCCAGCCCCGCGGAGGGCTGCTCTCCCCGCGGACGCGCGGAGAGATAAGACGCAGTGCGGGGACCCCTTCCACGCCTGGAAAGGCCTAAGGTTGAGGAGGGGTGTTCAAGCTGGGGGGCCGTCCAGCAGCGGATAAGGAGGGCCTGGATGTGGAAATAACGCCCAGCCGGGGGTCGTCTCTGCCGCCCCCCACTGCTGCCAATCGGGGGCTCCCGCCCCGTCCGTGGGGAGGGGGTAGAGGGAACCCGGAGCTTCTCCTCCCGGCTGGGAGGAGGGGTGAGAAATCCCGAGTGTTTCTGCGCGCGGGGGTGGGGGGTCTGCTGTGCGGGGGAGGGGGCGTCGAAGATGGTAGGTCGAGGCTCGGTGCAGGCCCGAGGGACAGAGGAGTTGGCGGGCAAGGAAAGAGGAGGCGCAAGTCTCCGTTGTTCAGGGATTTCGTTGTGGTTTTTCGGGGAGGTGGCTGTGCTCTTACCGGAGAAAGTTTCGATGGCCTTCATCGCCCAGTGCTCGTCGGGGCAGTCCACGAAGGCGTAGCCGGATTTGACCAAGAACTGGCCGCTGTAGGATATCTTGTGCTCGGCGAATACTTTCTCCAAGTCCGCGGGGGTCACGCTCTCGTTGAGGTTGCCGATATACAGCTTGTTCATGGTGGCGGTCTCGGGGCAGGACGCGGTCCCGGGCAAGGCCGAACGAGCGTGCGCAGGCGGCGAGCCTCCTAGGCCTAGAGGCGGGGAGGCCGGCGGCAGGAGCCGCAAACTTTCTTTGCACCCCACCCCTGAAGTTGTCCGGAGCCCAGAGCCGGGAAGGCGGCCTGAGGGCGCGCAGAGGTCGCGGGGGAGTTCGGGGAGAGCCGGGGAGAAGTGCCCACGGAGCGCTGGGAGGCGGACGACGCGACGCTGCTCCTTCCCTTCCGTCCGAAACCCCTCGGAGCGGGCTGGTGTGTCACGTTTCTCCGCGGCCGCCCTGGAGCCGCCTCTAAATAAAATCGACTTGAAAAAAAATGGAGCGGAAAAAAAAAAAAAAAAAGGCAAAGCCACGTGGTGACAGCCCCCACCCACCCTCCTTGGGAAGACCCCCGACGCCACAGGGCCCCTCAGCCTTCAGGCCAAATCCAACAATCTCATGCCTGGGGGTGGGGGACTCTACTCACCCCCTGAGTAAACTGGGCCGGTGGGGGTAGCGACCCTGAAGCTCTAGTCGCCCCCTCCCCTTTGCAAGAACCTGGCCCCTAGGGAAGCGCCCCGCCCCCACCCATCCTCCTACCCCGGCCAGAACTGGGGGAGGGTGGTGGAGCCCAGAATCTCCCTTGTCCTTAAGAGTAAAATGTGTGGTATTTTTTATTCGTTTGGGGGGGCGGGGTTGCCCACCCCACCTCGGTTAACAGCTAGCGACTGACAGGCGGGGGACGGCCAAGATAGACAAAGAGAAGCCGAGGACTCTGGGGTCTTCAGGAGGGGGTCGCACGAGCCGGTGATTTAAAAAGAAAGGCGCCTTTTCCCTAGATTTTTTAATGGGGGGGGTCTCTGCCTTCCCTACCGCAATCCCACGAGACTCCCCCGCCTCAGGGGATCCAGGACCCGGGACCACTACGACCGCGCGACTGGGAAGCTGGGAACACGGGGCGACCGCTATTGGAAATGAGGGAATCGCAGGAAACCGTGTTCCAGGATCCCCACTGGAGAAAGGGTGGCTCGCACCCCGGGTCCGGCTGCGAAATGATAACGTTTCGGGGTCCTGGGGGAACGCGCGGTTCTGGCCCGAGATGACCCCAAGAGAGAGGGAGAGGGTGGGAGGGGAGGAAGAAGGGTGGTAGCTAGGACTAATCCGAGCTAACCAAAGGGGGAGGTCTCAGGGAGGGAGTGACCGGGTGGAGATCCCAATGGTCCCCCTTTTCCCTTCCAGACTCGGGGGCAGACAGGTGGAGTCCTCTGCGCCTCCTCCACCCGGGACACCGACTGCGGCTCTCCTGGGGCTGGGTTCGGGTCTCCGAACTTTGTTTAGGGTGCAGGATTCGGATCCCGGCGGGAAGGCGGGAGAGGGGCGGGGGGGGGGGCAGAGCGCGAAGCCCCGCCCACGTCCCCAGGTCAGACCCGCGGGGGGAGGGGGTAATTTCCGCTCCGCGGACGGGGAAACGAGGGGCGGGAGCTTAGGGGAGGGGGCTGCGGCCCCTCCCTCGCCCGTTCCCGGGGAGGGGGAAGCGGATCCGCCCTGGTCCCTTCCCTCGGCTTTGACCAACTCGTTCCGGATCCTCCGGCTCCGGGAGCCCGAGGGAAGGACCCGACTGGGCAAGGGGCGACACGTGGGCGGTCGCACCCCGTCTGGGCGATGGGGGAGGGGGCGGCTCGCCGCGCGTTTCGGAGTCCAGGATCCGCGGCGGAGAGCGGGACGCGCTCCACGCGCAAGCCCTGGGTCCCGGGCGGCGCGGCGAGCGAGGCCAACGAGTTTCTAGCGGCGGGGGCTGGGATGGCGCCAGGGGGTGGCGGAGAGTGCGGCCCGGGGACCCTGGAACCCCCTCGCCGAGGGAACTGGGGAAGATGGGGGTCGACCCCCAGAAATTCTGGAGTCCCCCTTAACAGGGCGGAAATTGGGGTTTTGCTCGGGGTTTTGCGGAAGGGAGAAAAATTCTGTCTGGGGCACGCGTGTTGCGAGGGCAGGTGAGGAAGGGGGTCACTCTCCCCTTCCCCAGTCCCCGACCCCATTGTCTCAGTCGCCGGCTGCCTGGGCCGACTCTGCAACACGTGTTGACTACACCAATATGAATGCTTTGAATTTTTTTATTGTTGTTATTTTTCGTTTGCAGACTCAGTGAGCTGACTCCGACTTCAGCTCACCGCTCTTCTGTCCGATGATTTTATGCCATTCGAAAAGTCGGGAGTTTAAAGACAACATGCAGCACCTTTGTCCCCCTCCCCATTTTCCCGGCGCGCTGAAAAGAAATGGAGCTGGGACGTGGGGGCGGGGGAGGGCTTCCAACTCGGTCTCTCTATCTCCTCCACCACCTTACAACCCACCTCCCCAAATCAGCGTTTTGTTCTAGCCTGCCACGTGTTTGTCGGATTTCTGTTTTCTTGATATTTTTCTTCCTATGGAACAACAGGAATTAAAGTACTATAAGCTATCAGTCGCTGAGTAGAAAAGGAATGTTTTCTGTCCAAGAATGTGGGAGACATCTGTGTCTCACCCACATCTCCGACCTTCCCCCCCATCTGACTCAATATTTGGTCAGCTCTTGATCACAAACATAATTTTAAAACAAACCAAACCAATGAGCTGGAAACGGTGCTTGCCACATAGTAGGCGCTCAATGGACGTTTTAAAAATGAAAAAGAAGCTTAATACAATCTGCAGATAAAAGAGAATTCAGGAAAATTAGAGCCCAGGAAAAAAAACAAATTATCTTGGCCAGAATGTGTGGGTCTGTTGCCCGGGAACTTTTCTTGGTGATGTGTGTGGACTTTTGAAAGAGCCAAAAGATGGTCTCAAAAAGCCTGTTGTATTTCTTGGCCTTTTCCTAAACAGGAGTCCCAAGCCTCTTAAATCTTTTCTGTTATATTGGGGGACAAGGATGAGGGTAACTAGGCAGAGCATCCCAGTTCCCAGAAACTTTAAGTGCTGTTTCCTTCACTTAATTTGAATCTTTAGGTACTAATAAAAGCACTTCTCAGATTTTCTCCCTAGGGGACATATCCACTGCTCTATCTCTTTATTCCTAAAACAAAAGCAAGTAACACCCCACAAAAATCTCTATCCAGACCTCTGAATTCCTGTAAAATGTAGCCCACCTTTTACTATCCTAGATTCAAAGGGAAACAACATTTTTTAAAATAAGTGAATTCAGTTCACTTTTAAGTTGATTTTTTTCCATGTATAAATATAATAGACGTCTAAATGTTAGCTGAAATCAGCCAGTTTTTAAAATGTATTTTAACATGACCGTAGAAGAGAAAATATAAATTTACTTGAACAGTCTATCTAAAAATTCTTTTAAATTATTTAACTAAAAATTAATCAGTTATTGCTAAATTGAAACTGATTAGTTCTTTTTTTTTAGTTCTTTTTTTAAAAAATCAGCTGTTTCACTGAATTCTAATCCTCTCCACCCCCAAAAAAGGGCTTATGTGTGTATAGTCAGAAGCTGCAAAGGCTGCAAGAATAGGAGAGAGAGGAGGCAACTGGGGTGAGATACAGATCTTTTTAGCCCCCAAATCAGTTTTGCCTCAATGACCAGGCTATTTTAGGCTGGGGTTGGGGGAACTAAATGATGTTGATTGATGCCTCAAGTCTCCCCTCTGAGTGAGCTCAGCACTCAATTTACCCTGAAAGAAGAGTTATTTCTTGTCAAGACTCACATTCCTAGGTTAAGGATAGACATGGGCAGACTAGGGCTACCATAATTTTTCATCTTCCTCTTCTTTCTTTTTAATATCAAAGAAAACTAATAAACATTGTATTTACAACATTTTCTACACTGTTTCTTTGGGAAAGATGAATCTTCAATGCAGAGTTACATTTACTTTATGTAATAGTTAAAAATACAGCTGCAGGATAAATTGTTATTTTCCTAAATAATTATTATTATCCTGTATAATAGATATCCTATATAATATATATACTGTGTATCCTATATAATAATTATTATTATTCTTTCTCTTCTTGTTCTATTCTGCTTCCTCCTCCTTTATTTTTCCTGGAGAACTGTTTGGTCTAGTTATAGAATTCACTTCCCCTCTGAATTCAGAAACACTGAAACTTGACTCCGTTTTAAAGATAGGATTCTGATCCATTTTCCTTTAGTGTTAACATACAAATACATACAGAGAAAAAAATTTTAAGAGGATAAAACAACTTTTTAAAATATAGGAAGTAGATTTAAAAATCAACAATTCCACCATTGGCATACAAAATTAATTTTACTTTTAAATGGTCTTTCCAGCATTTGTCCATTTAAAATAGTTTTAAATTTTGTCATCTTATTTTAAAATATCTTAATTTTTTACTTACTTTTGTACCATAAGCATTTTCCCATGCTGCCTAAATGTTTCCATAAATATTTTAATTCAGCCCAGTTAATGTATATAAATAATTAATCATTATTTTTAGATATATTACATCAAATTTTTTTGATTTTTTGGATTAGCTCCTTTGGATAAATCCCCAAAACATATTGCATTTTAAATCTAACATTTATCAGTGACTTTTCTTTTTAAAAGTTTAGCATGTTTTACAAAAGAAAGAAAAAAATGGAAATCAGAAGAGAAATACATTAAAATAGAATTTTTTATCTTTTATTTTCTAATGAACCATAATCAATTTTGGAATAAAATTGTGGTTGCTACAAAATATAGAAAAAGAAAATTTCACATTTCCTGTTATATGGCTACTTTGACTTCAAGGTTTTGAAGCTTTTGGAGGAGTTTGTTTTTGTTTGTTTGGTTTTTATTTATTTTGTTGTTGTTGCTTGCTTGCTTGTTTTTTTATTGTTACTGCTTTGGGATATTTTGTTTCTTCCTACAACTTGAAGACTTAGTGTGGTTCTTTTAAATACCTATAAACTTTGAAAATGTGTAAATTAGTTACAGTTTAAAAGCACCTGCAGATTTTTCTCCTGTCAAATAAATAAGGATAATTACGTATTTAGGATATCTCATAAAAATGTAAGAAAACTTTAAGCAGAAAAGGAAATTTTCCTCCTTCAAATTATCATTCATTCAAAAAGTGTTCAATGTTTGAAATCTTAAAAAGAACTGTATTTATTCGAGAGAGGACTCAAGTGGAAAAAAGAACAATAATTTATTTTTCTGTGGGTCTCACAGTGTTTGACAAAACCTCTCAATTTTTTGTTTTGGCTCAGGTTTGCAATGTAGAAAGTCTTAGATAAGAAAGAGGATCATTTATTAACTTTAAAAGTGGTTTCCAAATTAATTTTGCTAGTAAATTAAACTACTCCACCCAGCCCATATTGACATATGTAGAAG